GCTGGCATCTTCCAAAGTGAGCTCTATGGAAGGGAGGGCAGTGATGTGAGGAAAAGGGTTCTACTGAGAAACAGGTTTGCGAAAAGATGTACTCTGATCCACCGCTTAGAGACTCACCAGGCTGGTTCCCAAGTCTTCGGAAACGCTGTGGTGGGGAACAGCTGTTCTCCTTTGTTATGGAAGCCTCTTCAGCCCTCTGTTCCCCCTGTAAACATCTATTACCATTCGGCTGTGCAGAACACCTTCAGGGAACTGTGTTTCTCTTTCTACTGTTAAACCAAATGCTGGTTTTCATGCTACCATCTAACAGGAGAACCTCCCAGCTGCCGTGGACCAGTCAGTCACCCTGCTCTGTCCATCTGTCTTCATCTCGCCTGGGGTCTCTCAGCCACCACCTGCCACACAGCTCACTATCCTGATTATGGAAATAATTCTTATGCCTATTTCCTTGCTCCAGGTTTTACTGTGGGGCTCCAGACCCATGTGCCTCCTTTATCCTGGGCACCTTGCTGGGTGGCTCTAGGCACCCTGCACACTTCCAACACCTCTTGTCTCTTCTGAGCTCATGGGCTTCTCTGAACACCCGCACCTTATCTTGCATTCTCCATCTTGAGTGTGTCAGTCAGCTCTTTATTACTGTGATGAAATACCCAAGGCAGTAAACTATTAATTATTTATTATTTTTATTTTATGTGTATGAGTGTATTGCCTACATGTGTGTAAGCACACCCATGCCATGCAGTGCCTGAGGAGATCAGAAGAAGACATTAGATCCCTTGGAACTGGAGTTACAGATGGTTATTAGCCACCATGTGGATGCTAGGAATCGAACCTGGGTCCTCTATTAGAGCAGCCAGTGCTCTTAACCACTGAGCAATCTCTCCAACCCTCAAGAAAATAAACTTTATAAGCAGAAGATTCATGTAACTCATTGTTTTGGTGGTTCAAAGTTCAAGGGCAGGTGGCCTTGTTTGATGTGGCCTCTGGTTAGGTGACACATTATGGCATGAGCATTTGTAGGAAGGGGTGGTCACATCTTTAACAGGAGCAGAGACCAGAAAGGCAGAATCCTGTGACCCCTTTTGAATGCACACCCCCAATGACCGAAAGACTGCCCTCTTGCCTCCCCAGTTCTGGGATTACAGATGCACATCACCATGCTTGGCTTTTATATGGGCACTGGGGATCGAAACTAAGGTCCTTGTGCTTGCATAGCAAGCAGTTTACTGAATTTGTAAGATTATCTTAAAATCACCCCTATCCTGAGAGTCAGGTCACCTGTTTCTCTTGGTGCAGTCTCATTCAATTTGGGAATTATTTAGCAAGGGTAATACACCTCCATCTAAAGCCTGACACTATCCTGAAATCTGCCTAATTCACTTTTTTTGTAGTCAGTACGACACATACACTGAAAGCTAACAAAGGTAACATGTTTACAACAAAGTACAGACCTGCCTCACTTCTAAAATGTCCTGAGGCATTCAGAGTTTTAATTGAATTATGCACAAAGAGAAACTGCCACCACAGTGAAATAGGCTTATCCAAGAGGCCTGGAGATAGCTTAATATCAGGAAATCTATTCAAATAACCTAGGTATCAGTTTGCTAAGGACAAAACATCATCTAGGGCTGGGGACATTGTTTAGAGGGTAAGGGTGCCTGCTGCATAGGCATGAGGACCTGAGTTCAAATCTCTAGCACCCACATAAAAAACTAGGCATGCCTGTAACCCCAGTGCTGTGGGAGGCAGAGACAGGAGGATGGCTGGGGCTTGCTGGCTACCAGCCTGGCTCCAGGTTCACAATAAGAGGCCCTGTCTCAAGGGAATAAGGACAGTGATAGAGCAGGACACAGTGTCCTCCTCTGGCCTCTGTACCCCTCCACGCATATCACCTAATGTATTTTTGAAGATTTTCTACATATAAAGTGTCATGCTAGGAGTAAGCACTGACATGGTCCCTCCGGCCTCCACACATGCACAGGCATGCACACATGAATATATACACACAGACTCAGCTTGAGCCCCTTTCCAGGTCAAGGGGTTCAGTGTGCGCTTTGCATGCTGTAGACTCATTGGAGATATTCACATTTCCCCAGCAAATCCTTAGTTTCCCCAGAATCTCTCAGTCCTTGACAAGGATTCATTCTCAAATTCAGATCTGGCTCATCTCTCACCATTCTGACTGGGCCCACGTGTCACCTACACACCTGCAGTAGTTAATGATAAAAACGGAAAACGGGAAGCTGGGTGCGGTAGCGCATGCCTTTAATCCCAGCACTCAGAAGGCAGAAGCAGGTGCATCCCTGGTCTCCATAGTGGGTTCCAGGACACCTGGGGGTCACAAGGGGACCCTGTCTCAAAACAATGGTTCCAGGTAGGGCAGCTTACCCCAAAGCCTGAAGGTTTACCTCTGATCAGTATTTGAGATTAGGCAACAGACAGGCACTCTTGTGGCCCATATGGTTCAAGGCTTTGTTGGTGCAGCTAAAACATGAACCCTGCACAGTTTCAGAATTTTACCTTTTTTTTTTTTTTTGGTCTTTTTGAGACAGGGTCTCCCTGTAGCCCCAGATACCCTGGAACTCACTATATAGACCAGGCTGAGAATTTAAAACACCCATGTCGTGCAATGCTGGCGGAGGACAGGCGAGGCTGTTGGATCCCCTGGGACTGGAGTTACAGACAGTTGTTAGCTGCCATGTGGGTGCTGGGGTTCGAACCCAGGTCTTCTGCAAGAACGATCAATGTTCTTAACCACTGAGCCATCTCTCCAGCCCCAGGCCTGGAAATTCCCAAGACACTGAGAATCTGGGCCAGATGACCCAGTGTGGGGAAAGCAGGGAGCAGAGAACATGTTGGCTATCCCAGAGGCAGGAGGAAAACCCCACTTGACTGCCCACAGATAGGAGCCTGCCCAGTCTTGGACTCCCTTCATCTGTGTGAGCCAGAGTCATCCCCTGAAACCCAGGGATGCAAGGCTCCACAGGCCCTCCCAGTTCCCCAGCTGGATCTATACAAAGGAAAACATGTCCTTGGCAGGAGAAGGAGACTCTCCTCAAACCACCTGATGGGACTGATGATCCTCAGTGCTTTCTTGTGTACCAGAAGCACAGCGTGACTTTCATTATAGTCATCCCTTAATAACTGTGGAGACTGGTTCCAGGCCCTCCTTGGACACCCAAATCCACAGGTCCAAGTCCCTAGGTAAAATCATCTGTAATGCAGCTCTAACATTCTTTCCAGTAGATTTTTTAAAAAAGTGTTTTCAAGGGACTGAGGAGATGGCTCAGAGGTGAAACACATTTGCTGCTCTTGTAGAGGTCCTGAGTTCATTTCCCAGCACCCACATGGCAGCTCACAACCACCTATGACTCCGGTTCCAGGGGATCCAATGCAATCTTCTGGCCTCCATGGACATAACACTCAGGTAGCCCATATATACATTCATGTATACACACACACACACACACACACACACACACATCTTTCAAAAAGCTGTTTCAAGGGCTGGTGACATTGTTAACTTGGTAGAGTGCTTGCCCAGCATACATGAAGTCCTAGGCCAGATCCCTAGCACTGCATAAGAACAGGGTGGTGACACATGTCTGTACTTCTGGCACTTGGGAGATGGAGACAGGAGGATCAGAAGTTCAAGGCCTCTCCTGGCTATATAGTGAGTTTGAGCCAGCCTGGACTATGTGAGATCCTGCCTGAAACAAAATAAAAAGCAAAGCAAACCCTTTTCAAGTGGGTTAGACATTCGTAAGTTATAAACATACTCCCTCCCCTATGGTCAGACCTGGACCATTTTGTTGGAGAATATTGCCAGAGCAACTCTTTAGTTTTTACTCTAGAAAATCTACCGCAATGTTCACTTGTGTAATTTTCAACAGTCTACAATTCCACAGAGAGAAGCCACATCCCATAGCAGGACAGACAAGGACAAATGATGCCCCCATTCTGGCACCAAGTCTTTGAACGTCAAGCACGTTATTAAACATCCCCTCAGTTAGCTTTCCTCTGACTTTTCCTCTGCTCCTAATGGTTTTCTTTGGAATATTTTATGTGAGCCAAAATAAATCATTGTTTAAATTGTTTTTGTCAGGTATTTTGTCACAGTAACAGGAAGAGTAACTAATATATCCACTACTCTGGAATAGGGCTCCAAGTTCTACAGCAAGTGAGGTAGGTAAGGCAAAGGACCCAGTGAGAGCTGGAGAAATGAAGGCACAGATTCTAGACACAGTCAGGGGGAAGGAAGGGGCACATGACCACGAATTTTTGAGACTCTGATATTCACTGTCATGGTTGACCCTGGAGGCTCAAATCCTAGATAGAGTAAAACGTTTGCAGCATCTTTCATAAGAAAACCAGCCAGTCAGAGCTGAGATCCCCAGTTACCTCTAAGATGGAAGCTCAAGCTTGGGTCACTCTCATCTTAGCCTGAAACGGCAGCACAAACCCCATGAGAAGATCTGGTGTGTATCCACATGCTGGACTGGCATCCACCTGCCCCAATCCCCCAGGGCCAGGCTCCAGACGCCTTAGGACAGCCCTGTGCTGAGCCTGCTACTAAAACTCATCAGATGGCCACCGTAGCCTGCTCACTGCCTCCCTTAGCCCTACCCACAGAGACCACAGCAAGGACTCCAGTGTAGGAACCACGATTCCCCATGTCCTGGCTCACCCAGTACTTTCCATATCCCTCTACTTCGGGATCTGTAACAGCTCTTTCTGCATGGCAGTGTCTCCTGGTCTCTTGGCCTCGCCATGCTGAATAACAGAGCATGGATTTTAAAGCCTGGGGCAAGGTCAAGGGCACTGTGGTCTGTGGGGGCTCACAGTTTCTTGTTTGTCATAGGACCATAGGCTGTCTAGCGAAAGGCAGGATGGTTTGAGTGAACAAATACTTTCAAAGGAGGGCTTGTTCTTAGGGCCCACTCATTCTAGAGAAAGGAGGTGTGTTAGGCAGAAGGACTAGGTCCACAGTGCTCACTCACCTTCGTGTGGCTCAGCAGGATAATCCGCACCAGCACGACATTGATGTGGGCTCCCAATGACTCGTCATGATAGATTTCATTGACCTGAAAGACAACCAGAGAGTCATCAGCAGGAACCATGGGCCCAAATCAACTCTAACCATACACATGGCATCATGCTCCAATCTCCCCGGTAGGGACTCCAGGAGGAGCCCTACAGACTCCTTCCTCTTTCCATACCCACACCAGCCACTCAGTTAACTCTAAACCACCTCTTTATCCATCCCTCCTGTCTCCCCCTGGCCTATACAGCTACCACCACCTGCCTGGATTACTGTAGCAGCCTAAACTTGGACCAGAAAACTGTGTCTCTACACTGGTCATCACTCTCACTGAAGCACAGCCCTTCCTTCAGGAAGGAATGAGAGCCGTTAGAGGAGACATTGCTCCGTAGCTGCTGCTGCCTGCTGTGAAATGGTATCTGTACATATTGCTGCAGTCAGCCCTCCATATCCACAGATTCCGCATCTCTGGATCTGACCAACTGCAGATCAAAAATGTTTGAGAAAGGAGTTGCTGCAATGTATAGACCTTTCCCCTGTCATTTGCCCCTAAACAGTGCCATAACTATTATACAGAACCTTTGCCTAATTGAATTTTAAGTGATGTAGAGATGATTGTAAGTATGGGGGGATGTGTGTATAGGTTATTTACAAACATCCCGCATTGTACAGGAAGGACTTGAGCGCCTAAGAGGGTCCTGAAGCTGAGTTCAGCGATGTTAAAGGACGCTGCACTTGGAAACGAGGATTATTTTAGACCCAGCACCAGTTCTGTTTCAACTTGCAAACAAGGAGTAGTTATTACTAGATCTCTTGCTCTGCTTACCTTGTTTGGTTTCTAGAGTGTTGTCTTCCTTTGCATTTCAATCACTATTACATTTAAAAACATTCTGGGACTGGGGAGATGGCTCAGTGGGTAAGAGCACTTGCTGTGCAAGTATGAGGACCTGAGTTCAAACTCCCAGCACCCACATGAAAAATGGCCATGCCTGTGCCTGTAACTCTAGCACTGTGAGGTGTTGGGGGGGACTTCAGACAGAGGGACCCCTGGGGTTCACTGGCTTCCAGGCTAGCCTAGATCCAGGGTCAGTGAGAGACCATGTTTCAAGGGAATAGGTCTCAATGGTCAAGTAGAACACCTACCGTTGTCCGCTGGCCTCCATGAGCCATCAGGCATGTATACCCGGACACCTACCCACCTCCCCCCCCACACAATAAAGTAAAATAAAAGGAAAACATTATTCTGAGCAGTTGTCCATAGGCTTCTCCAGATGTCTATGATTGATGGTTAAGCTCAGGCTCAGAGCTGCTAGAAGGTTCCTTCCTATAGAATTACTCCCCATCTGCTACCTCACACTTAGGATTTTCTGGAACAGCCCCTCACTATCCCCTCTTTCACCAGCTGAGCAAATGACACTACTCCTCACAGCCAGCCTAAGAGTTGCCCTCCTAGAAAGCTCTGGGGTCTGACTGATGCTCCAGCTGTATCCTTCATAAACCCAGTCACTGAGTGTGAGCTTCATCTCTATTTTCCCTCCTTGCCTATCCCCCTCCCCCAGGATGGAGCATCATGTGTCCAGCACTCACTGAAGAGATAATTCCATCAGTGCCCTTACTAGGGGAGAGGTATGAACCAGGCACACATGTTCTTTGAGTGCAGACTGGGCTGCAAAGCCTTAGAGGGGGGAAAGCTTGGCTGAACTATACCTTCCAGAACCCACCGCATCCCAATTTTCAGAATTCCTATGTGGGCAACTGTAATTGCTCCTTCTAAGCAGCAGGAAGATGCCTTGGGAAATCTGAGCTATAACGAGGAAAATCAAATCATGATGGTGATGGATGGGATGGAGAGGGACATAGGGCCTGTGAGACACACAGCCCAGTGGCTGCTGCTGTCACTGCAGCTGTGGATAAAGATGGCACAAATCGGAGTGCGGAGCTAATGAGCCCACTGGTTCCCAACCAATGCCACCCTCCAGCTCAACACACAGTCCCTGCCAAGCCACCTTCTGATTGTAAACTGGCTCCTGTTCTCTGTCCTTTGCCATAGGGAAGGGGTGACTGTTCAGCTGATGTGGGACCATCTACTCGATACCCAGGTGCCTGCCTTACCACCTGCAGCTCACAAGATGGGGCCTCTCCAGGTCCCCCCAGGAGGGGGAACTGTACCACTACCCCAGTCCCTGTGGTCTCCTCTAAAATCAGGATAGGAGTCCCCATCTCATGGAGCTCCTGGGAAGACTCAATGTCCACACGTGTGTGATGGAATGATATTTATGAAAACTGAAACTTTTTTCATAGCTCGGGAACCCTATTGCTCTCTGGGAGGTTTGAGGAATGGGTAGACACCCCCTAAGCCACAGGAGCTGATGCTTAGCTTTGAGAGCCAAGCTGGATTATCCTTTCAGTCTATGCTGAGACAATGACCTTAACAATCAGCTCTTTTACTTAAGGATTGTTTTATCTGTGAGGAGCCAAGCTGGGTTGTTTGGGCTCACAGAGCTCTGCTGAAAATCATGCACAGGAACAACAGAGGGCCGGGAAGGTCCTGCTGCAGCAGGAAGGAGCTGGTGAGAAAAATCCAGGGGAGTCAAGGGTACAGCTTTGCACCCCTGGTCCTTAGGGTCACATGTGAAGGTGGGGGTGAAGGCAGGGTGAGCACAAAACAGCCCTGGTAGCCAAACCAGAAAAGCAGTGTTTGAACCCCATACTGCCTGAACTGAGAGAGAGAGAGGTTCCCATAACAGAGGCTCCAGAGAGGCCAGAAGGAAACTCAACATGCCTGGGCAGCTAGCATGCCTAACAAGGAAACCAGCTCCCAGCCTTGGGAAGCAGATACCAGAGATCCCCTGAGCCCCAGGGCACAAGAGCAGGGTTGCTGGGGACTGTCTAGTCAGGTCACCTGGAGCTGGAGCACTGCTGGCTTTCAGGGGAACCTAGGGGTACTAGCCTGTAGGAAAAGAGGGCAGGCCTGCTGCCTGGCTGCTACTAAGGGGATGAACCCCAGTGCACAGTCTCAGTCTCTAGGGCATGGCAAAGCCAGATGCTGTGGGACAGATGTGCATGTGATGGAGGCCAGCTAAGCCACACACACCTCCCTAATGAGGAAGCAAGGACAGGAACAGGTAACACTTCTATAAAGACCAGATGTGACCCACCCATTCAAAGGGTGAGATTCTTGCCCCCCAGTGTGATGGCATTTGGAGGTGGGTTATGTGAGGTCAGGAGGGTGGGGTCCACGTGATGGGATTAGTGTCCTTGTGGAAAGGGACACCAGAGGGACACTTCCTGTCCTCTTCCTCCCCCCCTCCTCCACTTCCTCCAGCCCCCTCATCTCCTCCTCCTCCTCCCTCTCATCTTCCCCTTTATCTTCTCCAGTGAGGACAGTAAGAAGGTATTCACATATAAATCAGTAAGAGAACCCTCCAGGGCAAACCAAATTAGCTAGCAACCTTGATCTTGGAATTCCTGGTTTCCAGAACTATATGAGATAAACTGTTACTTCCCAGCTCTGTGTTGTTTTGTCCCAAGCAAAAAAAAAAAAAAGGCAAGTTGTGAGGCTGGGCTTGCTATGGCTTGCATAAGTGTCCCTCAAAAGCTCAAGTACCAGAGGCTTCCTACCCTGCCTGGGGTGCTCTAGGAAACTGCTGGAACCTTTAGGGGATGGAGCCTGATAGAAGGAAGTTAGGTGTTGGAGGTGTGCCTTGGAGATATTGGGATCTTGGTCTGTCTTTTTTCTCTCCTCCTCTGTCTCTGTCTCTCTGTCCCTTCTAGCAGGTGAACAACTTTGTCATATGCTCCTCACCATGATGTTCTGGCCCTCTATAAGTCCACAGTCGCAGAGCCAAGTGACTATAGAGTAAACCTCTAAAACCATGAATCAAAACAAACCTTTCCTCTTTTTAAGTTGATGATCTCAGATATTTTGTCACAGCAAAGGAAAGCTGACTAAAACAGGACCTTGACTTGGCTGAGCATTCTTCCAGGTATGTACAAATGTCCTGGGGTCAGAAACCATGAGGCAGATTCCCCAGCACAGAAGGGTAAGGCAGGGGAAGGATCTCAGAAGAGGGGGCTAGAGAGGGGGGTACTCAGGCAGGACTGACCCATTGTGGTTCCAAATCTGTTCTCCTGCAGGGCAGGAGAATGACACTGCATTTTTAAAATTTTTTATTTATTTATTTTTATTTTATGTGCATGAATGTTTTGCCTGCATGTATGTAAGTGCACCCTGTGTGTGCAATGCTTATGGAAGTCAGAGGAGGGTGTCAGATTCCCTGGAACTGGAGTTATAGAGAGTTGTTAGTAATAGGGTTTCAAACAGCAGCAGCTCCGCCCCCCCACCCCAATAGGGACCTATGGACTTTTGAAGCCTGAAAAAGGGAACTGAGCTGATAAGCACCTTGGCCTTTGAGGTCAAGGGAAACAGACTCTGCTAAGAGGCAGCCTGCCTTTCCTCTGATCTCCAAAGACAAGATAAGTAGATCCTGCCTGTTAACCAGAGATTTTAGGAGCTGTTTAGCACAGCAGCTTTTCCCTTATCTTAAGAGGACAAAAAAGTAAACACTTCCAGACCCAGATCCTGGCTGGCAGACAGAATGGAGCCAGGTTTACAAGCCCTGCTTTTCCTGCTTCCCCCTGCTTGATTTTTCCCACCACCCCCCTTCTGCACCCTGAAGCCACCATATATAAGTCCCAGCTCACAACCCGTGGGCTGACACTTTCCTTTCCCCCCAAAGGAATGTGTCTTGTGCGAAATAAAGCTCTATCCCGCTGAGAGTTTTATCTGTGTCTCGGTGCCTCAGCCTCCATTCACTCACTCTCCGCCAAATTTTTACCTATCAGTTAGCCGACTCATGGGTGCTGGAAACTGAACCTGGATCCTCTGCGAGAACAGCCAGTGCTCTTACTGCTGAGCCATCTCTCCAGCACATGACACTGCATTTTATAACAATGACTGTGGATCCTTTATGGAATATAGACTGAAGGGGTGGAGATGTGGGAATATAGGGTTCATCATCAGAGAAGAGTGGAGGGAAAGGA